ATGGCCCTTACAATTTGGTATGTTTTTTACAGTGGCTGGTTCTGGGTTTTGCTTTCCATATTTAGTGCTTCCTTCAGGTGCTCTTGTAAGGTAGACCCGGTGGTGACAAAATCTGGTTCCGAGTTTTGCTTTCCATATTTAGTGCTTCCTTCAGGTGCTCTTGTAAGGCAGGCCTGGTGGTGACAAAATCTCTCAGCATTTGCTTGTCTGTAAAGAATTTTATTTTTCTTTCACTTACGAAGCTTAGTTTGTCAGGATATTAAATTCTGGTGTGAAAATTCTTTAAGAATGTTGAATATTGGCCTCATTCTCCTCTGACTTGTAAGGTTTCTGCACAGAGATCCGCTGTTAGTCTGATGGGCTTCCCTTTGTGGGTAACTCGACCTTTCTCTCTGGCTGCCCTTAACAATTTTTTCTGCATTTCAACCTTGGTTTATCTGATGGTTGTGTGTCTTGGGGTTGCTCTTCTTGAGGAGTATCTTAGTGGTGTTCTCTGTATTTCCTTAATTTGAATGTTGGCCTGTCTTACTAGGTTGGGGAAGTTCTCCTGGATAATATCCTGCAGTGTTTTCCAACTTGGTTCCATTCTCCTCATCACTTTCGGGTACACCAATCAAATGTGGGTTTGGTCTTTTCACATAGTCCCATATTTTTGGAGGGCTGGTTTGTTCCTTTTCATTCTTTTTTCTGTAATCTTGTCCTTATGCTTTATTTCATTACGTTGATCTTCAGTCTCTGATATCCTTTCTTCTGCTTGATGGATTTGGCTGTTGATACTTGTGTATGCTTCATGAAGTTCTTGTGCTGTGTTTTTCAGCTCTATCAGGTCATTTATGTTTTTCTCTAAGCTGGTTATTCTATTTAGCAATTTGTTTTACCTTTTTTCAGGGTTCTTTGCTTCCTTGCATTGGGTTAGAACATGCTCCTTTAGCTTGGAGGAGTTTGTTATTACCCACCTTCTGAAGCCTACTGTCAATTTGTGAAACTCATTCTCTGTGCAGTTTTGTTTTCTTGCTGGCATGGAGTTGTGATCCTTTGGAGGAGAAGAGGCATTCTGGTTTTTGGAATTTTCAGCCTTTTTTGGGCTGGTTTTTCCTATCTTCGTGGATTTATCTACCTTTGGTCTTTGATGTTGTTGGCCTTCAGATGGGGTTTTTGTGTGGACGTCTTTTTGTTGATGTTGATGCTATTCCTTTCTGTTTGTTAGTTTCCTTCTAACAGGCCCCCCTGCTGCAGGTCTGCAGGAGTTTCCTGGAGGTTCACTCCAGACCCTGTTAGCCTGGGTATCACCAGTGGAGGCTGCAGAACAGCAAAGATTGCTGCCTGTTCCTTCTTCTGGAAGCTTTGTCCAGAAGGGCACCCGCCCGATGCCAGCCAGAGCTCTCCTGTATGAGGTGTCTGTCAACTCCTGCTGGGAGTGTCTCCTGGTCAGGAGGCATGGGGATCAGAGACCCACTTGAAGAGGCATTCTGTCCCTTAGTAGAGCTCGAGTGTCATGCCTGGGAGATGTGCTGCTCCCTTCAGAGCTGGCAGGCAGGAACATTTAAGTCTGCTGAAGCTGCCCCCACAGCTGTCCCTTCCCTCAGGTGCTGTGTCCCAGGGAGAGGGGAGTTTTATCTATAAGCCCCTGACTGGGGCTGCTGCCTGTCTTTCAGAGATGCCCTACCTAGAGAGCAGGAATCTAGAGAGGCAATCTGGCTATGCAGGCTTTGAGGCGCTGCGGTGGGCTCTGCCCACTTTGAACTTCCCAGCAGTTTTGTTCACACTATGAGGGGAAAACTGCCTACTCAAGCCTCCGTAATGGGAGATGGCTGTCCTCCCACCAAGCTTGAGTGTTCCAGGTTGACTTCAGACTGCTGTGCTGGCAGCAAGAATTTCAAGCCAGTGGATTTTAGCTAGCTGGGCTCCATGGGAGTGGGATCTGCTGAGCTAGACCACTTGGCTCCCTGGCTTCAGCCCCTTTTCCAGGGGAGTGAATGGTTCTATCTCGCTGTTGTTCCAGGCACCACTGGGGTATGAAAAAAACTCCTGCGGCTTGCTCAGTGTCTTCCCAAATGCACCCAGTTTTATGCTTGAAACCCAGGGCCCTGGTGGAGTAGGAACCCGAGGGAATCTCCTGGTCTGCGGGTTGCAAAGACCATGGGAAAAGCTTAGTATCTTGGCCAGAATGCACTCTTCCTCATGGCACAGTCCGTCATGGCTTCCCTTGGCTAGGGGAGGGAGTTCCCCAACTCCTTGTGCTTCGCAGGTGAGGCAACACCCCACCCTGCTTTGGCTCTCTTTCTGTGGGCTGCACCCACTGTGTAACCAGTCCCAATAAGATAAGCTCGGTTCCTGAGTTGGAAATATAGAAATCATCCGCCTTCTGCATTGATCTTGCTGGCAGCTGCAGACCAGAGCTGTTCCTGTTTGGCCATTTTGCCAGCCACCAAATCCATGATTTCTGAGAGTTCATAGAAGTGACACTGATGAAATTTAAACATGTCGCCAGGTTTCAGCAATTCTTACAGCTTTCCTTAACTTCCCCTTGACTTCTGCAGTTTTTATTTTCCATTTTCAAAATCTTTTTTTTTTGAGATGGATTTTCGCGCTGTTGCCCAGGCTGGAGTGTAGTGGTGTAATCCCGGCTCACTGCAACCTCTGCCTCCTGGGTTCAAGCGTTTCTCCTGCCTCAGCCTCCTGGGTAGCCAGGACTACAGGTGTGTGCCACCACAGCCGGCTGATTTTTGTATTTTTAGTAGAGACAGGGTTTCACCATGTTGGTCAGGCTGGTCTTGAACTCCTGATCTTGTGATCTGCCCACCTTGGCCTCCTGAAGTGCTGGGATTACGCCACCACAGCTGCCCCAAATATAGTTTCTGACCTTCAAGAGGTGTCAGCTTCTCAAAGATAGGAACTCTTTTCATATTTGAATTTTCAGTGCCTGGAATCTAGTCAGTGAATGAGTGAATGCATGAATGTCTCTTCTTGGCCCACCCACCCCCCCACCCCATTTCTGTTTCCTTCTCATTTCTAGCTGGGTTTCAGTAAAACTTAGAGTATTATGTGAAAGGAGAGTCTTACAGTTGCTTTGAATTAAAAAGCAAATTAAACTAAAAGCAGCAAGGGAGTAGAATGTATTTATTTTCCTACTAAACAAAAGAAAATTGCTTTTATTTGCATGTACCTCTTGATTTAATTTTGTGCATTCTTGCTATAATTAGACTTTGATAGGAAGGTCTTTTATTGTTCTTCTAGGTAGTTTTATTTTGCTTCCCATATTTTTTTCCCCTTTTCAAATTTTCCTGCTTATGAATTCTCGAGAATTGACACATAGATGCTTGAAACTCATGAGGCACCTAGAAAGGGAATTAGGACAGCTTAGTAACAAAGAAAATGTTTTATTTCTATGGGAAAAAACTGTTTTGCTTTATTAGGTTTGTTTAAATTATAGTATACCAGGAAAGGATGAGCTTAACTGTCTTTATCCCTGACATAATGTATCATAAACCTAGTTTTTCCAATTAGAGTTTACCTGTATTTTTGCTTCCCAGTGTACACCCAGTATGCCACCAGAATTATGTGTGTGCCGCCTCACCACCCCCAAACCAAACCATACCAAACCATCTGGCTTTTTTTCTGCCAGGCCACTCCTCTATAACCCAGTTCCTTCTTTGCTTACCAGTATATATGTTGACTTAATAAATTGTTTCTGTGAAAGGAATCATACCTTTTTAATCTGCCATTTAAAAACAAATTTAGTTTATGTAGCTTCCCATAAAGGTAACATGGCAGGCCCTCAATTAGTGTTATGTGAAAATGTAGCATAATGGTTAGACTTTTCCTATGGTAACATCTATATGTTACTGAAATGTGAAAATGTATGCATACAGAAAACACCCTTATCTACCAAGAAAATAAGAAGCTTGTTATCTAAATATTAACTTTTTCCCTTTCTCATCTGTTGTTGAGCTAAATCCTTGCCAGAAATCTAGATGGTCAGTAGTTGTTAGTACTTCAGTTGTCTTTTTGGCCTCTACAGACTCCACCAACCCTCTATCTGCTTATATTTAACCAAGTATCATTCACTGTTTTCATTTTGAATTAACAGTCATCTTGTCAAACATCACCTTAGGGGCCCATCTGCAAATCTGCAAATTGTTTATGTAATATGGACCCAGGGTTTTCCATTCAATCTGTACAATTTAGGCAAAGGTTTTGTCATTGTTAGTAATGTTTTGGATATTTTGGGCTTATCTTTCAGTCAGGACTTTGGGAGTGGTGAATTAAAAGATAGATTTAAATTGTGTTTAATTTTGGCTTTGTTTTTGCATTTTTTTTTTTTTTT